AGTAAGAGGTTTAACTACAAGGGCAGTGCTAAGGTGGTCAGGCCTCCTCGTGTAGACACATGATTGGATTTTTTTAAAGAGGGTCAGAACTGGAACCTGATCAGAACCAGGAAAGTTAAAGTCCTTCAACTTTTTCGGGGGCTGCACTATTGGGATATTAAAGTTAACAACTAGCCCGGAACATGGTTTCTTATCTCAGCCAGAAGATTTCATCTCTAGCAGTACATTTCCCTCCTGGGACATGGGCTCATCATGGTCTCCTTATGGTGCTAACAAATAACTCCAAGTATGCTTTTGCCAAAGATGTAAAAAGTGTGTGTGTTTAACATCTTTGTCATATCTATGTAGGAGCAGAGCGTCAGAAGAAAGCCATAGAAGTATTTAAACTTCTGCTCTTCCTTTCTTTTATGTCGTGGAATGTGGTGCTTTCAATGAGAGTCTTACACCATGTCTGGATCCTCCAGATCCTTTCTCAGTCCACGCTGACTTCTGTTGTTTACTTCTGTCCTCCACCTTTGACTGTCTCCCTTTAAATGGTAAAGGATTAATTAAAAAAAGAAAAAAAAGTACCACCCATTCCATAATAAAATTGAACTAGTAAGCTGAGCATCCTGTAAGCCAGTCTCGTGAGCCCATCTTCTTGTTCTTCATGCAAACCTGCCTATTGTTGTCAGCCCTTTCTGTGCTTTGTATTTGGTTTTATAAATTCTTTGCTGAAACGCTTTGAGCGCATATGATTTGATGTAGAAATCGTTTTGTGCTGACTGTACAGAGTTATTTATTTAATTTTTTTTCTGTAGCTGTAGTTCTAAAATCCTCAAAACCAGGCAGGGACAGCATGTATCCCTGTTTTTGTTGTTTAGTAGAGATAGATGTGGGATTTTTTTTTTTTTTTTTTTTTTTTTTTTTTTTTTTTAATGGAGGGCCTGTATGGAATTGGCATTATATTGGGAGCCATTTTAAATTACTCTGCATGGACTCACTTTTTTCTTGGTGGGATTTTCAGGGTATAGAGAAATGATCTTCAGAGGAGATGCTTTGCTCCTGCCTGTAAAAACTTCAGTGCATCATAAAGGAAATGAGCAGCTTTTGTGGCGGGCGGCCTGGCAGGAGAGCAGAAGTTACTGCAGGAGGTGGGGTGCCACTGTGCAGATGCTCCGGTGGTAGTGTCTTTTAATAAAGAACAAAACAAAACAAACCCAAAACAGCAACAAGAAAAACTTGAAGTTGTGAGGTGAATCCTCCTCTCTGTGAACGTACCGGGTTGCTGGTCACAAACGGGAGCAGTGTAACGTTTTGGTAGCCAAGGGGCAAGGTAGTTTAGGTAACTGATATTGGGAAGCATGCCTCCGGAAGGGACTTGCAGAGATCGCCTCGTCCAACTCTGTCTGAAGTAGGAGCACCCCTATCTGAACTATCCTGTACAAATCCATTGTCTAACCCGTTAATGAAACAACTTGGTCAACCCTGACACAACCACAAGGCATAATACCCAAATCTGCTACGAGCAAAGCAGGGGGACCATGGTGGCCAACGTCCTGCTGCTTCAAGGTTGTTAAAAGGGTTTTTGGTTGTAGCTGTCGGTCTAAGGACACAGGTAGGCCAGGGTTTTTGGATAGAGGTGATATCTTTTATTAGACCAACTGAGTCGTTGGAAAAAAATTCTTAGCAGGCTTTTGGATGCAATTACCTTTCTTGGAGTCTCAGCAGAGACTTACTATGCCTGAAGAAGGATGATTGCGCCCACAAGCTTGCTAAGAACCGTTTTTTCCAACTACTCAGTTGGTCTAATAAAAAATATCACATCTACTCAAAGAACTTTGCCTGCCAAGGTTGTTAAAATACACTTGAGATCTGAGGAGGAGAACCACACCCCCTGTACCAGGAGGAGGCAAAACCCCCACAGTCCATATCAGTACCAACGTGGGGTAAATTGCCTTCCTGATCCTAAGTATGGTGATCGGTCTGACCCAAGTGGAGAGGCACGTGCTAGCAACTTATGGGTTTGAGTTCCAGCAGGACCCAGTGGCTCACCTCGGTCACAACCCCCAGCCTTAGCTGCAGCCACTATCTAATGGTTATGAAGAAAGCTTCAAACGAACAAAAAAAAAAAGTCGTCGTGTCACGCCCCTGCCCCCAACCCTTAAAATCGTGTAACAGTAGGAGCGGAAAAGAAATTCCCTCCCAGCCCCATGTGACAACCAACAAAACCCAGAAACATGGGCTTCAAATGTTTGAAGACTGGTATCATGTTCCCTCTTTTCCGCCAGCTGAACATAACCTGTTTTCTTCAGACTTCCTCTAACTTCTCCATGTCCTTTTTGAAATATGGAGCCCTACGCTGCATGTAGTACTCTAGATGAGTCCTAAGTAGTGCCAAGTAGAGGCACTATCACCTCCAGTGTCTTGCACCTAATTCTCTTTTTGATGCATCCCAAAACTGCATTTGTCTTTTGTGTAGCTGCATCACACTGCACACTTGTATTGAGTCTGTGATCCACCAAACCTCCCACATCCTCCTTTATGGAGCTGCCATCCAGCCAGGTGTTACCCACTTTGTATTTCTGTTTTTGGCTGTTCTTCCCGAGGTGCAGCACCTTGCATTTGTCAGCACTGAACTTCATCCTGCTAGCTCCAGCCCCACTTTCCAATTTGTCATGGTCCTTCTGAATTATGCTCCTGTCCTCCAACATGTTTGCAGTTCTTTCCAGTTTCATGTTGTCTGCAAACTTGCTCAAGGTGCTTTCTATGCTGGCATCCCAATCATTAATAAACACGGCGAACAGCACCGAGTCCAGTTCAGTGGGCTCCACTCAACCTCCTGCCATTCTGATGTGGAGCCACTTATAATTACCCTTTGCTTGTGGCTATTGAGCCAGGCATCTCTCCACCTTTTATAGTAGTCTTGTCTAGCCCACGTGTCTTCAGCTTGTTTGTGAGAAGGTTGTGGGAGACCTTGTCAAAAGCTTTGCAGGTACATGATATCCATAGCATTCCCTTCATTCACCCAAGGAGTTGCTTTGTCAAAGGAGGAGATCAGGTTTGTTTGACACAATTTGTTCTAACTAAATCCATGCTGGCTGCTTGTTATCAGCCTTTCCTCCTCCATATGCTTGCAACTGGACTTCCTTCCCAGGTATTGAACTGAGGCCAACTAGTCTGTAGTATCCCAGGCCCTCCTTTTTGCTGTTTTAAGGAGGGGCGCTATATAATTCTCTTTCTAGTCCTCTGGTATCTCCTGTCTCCTACAGCTGCTTAAATATTATTACTAAAGGCTCTGAATTCACCTCTGCCAGTTCCTTTGGTACCCTGGATGCAGAGGACTGAAACCATGAAACTATTTGACTTTTTTTTTTTTAAAGCTGATGCTTTCCGAGGAAGGATTAAGGTGCAAAATGGGACAATGTTATATGGAGAGCTTTCATTGTCACATGTCCCATCCCTATAGTGCAAGGTAGAAGACCAAGAATGTGTCTCAGCAATGCTAAATTAATTAAATCTGAACTGCTAGTGATTCCACACCTTCCTCCAGCCCCCTTTTAAGCATGCCTGTAGCAGCAACAGTAGTAAGAATGGGACTAATTTGGTCTCTTCATGAATGAATGTAGTTTTGTTCCTTATAGTGGCTCAAGGGGCTGCGATTACCCCTTTTTTCCAAAGTTCTTGAAGAATTAAAAAAAGTTCAGTGACCAGAAGTGAGTCAAACAGCTGAAATCCAATGACAGCTACTCTACACGAGTATACTTGAATGTGCGCGAACAGTAGTTTTCTCTAAAGAATGTGCAGGTGTTTCAGTCTCTTCTCAGAAGAGCTCCAAAAGACCTTAACTTTGTGTAAGGTTGATGACACAAAACCAAATCACTTTTTAGTTTCTCTTGAAAAATTTTCTTATTGGGGAGCAGATTGTGGCTCCTTTGCCTACACGTTCTCTGGCGATACAGAACCATATTCTCCAGCTGTCATTGATTTAGTGGAAAGTACAAGGTTGTATCAGTCCTGGGTGTATTTTCCACTGCTCTCCAGTAGCTGCCACTATATTCTGGCCACCAGGTATCTCCATATTGCCTGTGTTGCTTTTAGGATTAAACATCTTTTGTATTGGAAAAGCCTGCTGAATGTTGTTTGAGCAAATGGCCAAATCAACCACGTGTTTTTGTGGTTTTACAAATGCTAATAAATGGCATGGAAGCCAGTAAAACCATAACAGAGATTCTTTACACACAAATCTTTGAGAACATCTTGATTTACATGCAAATATTGAATATTAATTTTCTTTTTTCTCCTCCCTCCCCCCCGCAGAATCAAGTGACGGACACAAATAGAAAACTGCAGAATGAAGGGAAAGAAGTAAGCCCTTATTTATTTTTATTCTAAGATGTGATGGGTTTTCTGTGTACTTTTTTATTTCTGTGTTATGTTGATGGATTGTGTGGTGTGGCTTCAAAGCTAATAGCCTGCACAGGCAACATTTGATGGGGTTTTTTTATTTTTTCTGCAGGGAATATTGTTAATGTGTGCAGTATTTTGCATACTCGCAGCTCCCTTTCCTTGTATGCAACAAAGGTTGAATAGAGGAGTTGTTACGGTTTGCTATAATTGGAAGCTAAAAACTCAGTGGAGGGGGGGAAAACCTAAAAAAGCACGGAGACTTGAAGTATTAATGGTCAAATTGTGAGCTTAATCCTTTGGTCTCACTTCACATGAGTAATTGCATTCACACACACATGGAAGGATCAGGCTCCCAGTCCATAATTGAGTATGGCAGCACCTTGGGTCAGTGCAGGGTTTGAATCATATATGTGCGGAGGCATAAAGTCATGGCACGGGAAGTTACCTTATGTGTGGGGTTGGTTTTTGCTTGACCTGTATTCAGTCTTATTCACCTCTTTTTATTATCAGAGGAGGAATACATAGGAAATTTGACACTTGTTTGTTAGTGCTCTAGAGGCATTGAAAGGCTTTGTCTTCGGCATCTTCTTGATCATCCTACGAGTTTCATACCACTTCTTCCTTTCACTTCCACAGTAATCTTGTGCTCATCTTGCCTCTTCTGTCTTCCTAGTTAACAAAATGTATTTTGTTGTCTGCACTTCCGAGCGAAATACTTTTGTCATAGACACTTCAGAGATCTTATTTCCCTGCAAGTGTTGGATTATTCCCAACCTCCTAGTATTCTGAAAAATGCAACCCTCTCCAGTGCTTGCTGCTTGCGAGTGCGCTGCTCGCACGTTCCTAGAACCGGCTCTGGAAATGATTTGTGATAGCCATGCAGCACCTGTTGATGACAACAGAGAAGATACAATTCTGTCAGTAATTGAATGGTGTAGAACGGGGTGTCAAACATGTGGGCCGGATCTGGCCCACAGAACCAAGGCGTCCAGCCCATCTGTAGTCAAATGCACTGCCCCTTGACTCTGCACTGCCACGTGAGCCTGGCTCTTCATGGATGTGTGCCCCTGACTCCATGCTTCATGAACGCAGCTCCATGCAACCATGCATCCCTGGACCCATGCTGCTGCCCGAATATGGCCCCATGGATCTAGCCCCAGAGGAGCCTCTGCATTCTGGATCTTGCCCATGGCGAGTTTGACACCTGTGGCATAGCATGCCAACAAAGGGAAGAGTTGGTTTCCTTGGAGACAGCTAGAAGTAAAGGGATTTAATTGAAAAAGGGCAAATCAGACTCGACAGCAAGGAAATACAAGGTTTTGATTGTGAGGCAAATGCTGCCTTGGACATCTCTGGTTCTCGGAAACAATGGAACTTTGTTTGGTAAGGTTACATCTCCTCTGTGTGGAAGATGACCTGTTCCCAATACTGTGGAACAGGCTCCTTTGGATCAAGGACAGTCTTAGATTTCACCATGACTTGCTGAGGCTCAAGGCATGCTTTTTGACCTTGCTTTAAAAAAAAAAAAAAAAAAAGGTAGCAACATGCACACCTGAGTGCGTGTGTATGTATTTTATACAAGTCACAAAATAAGATGGCTCTGGGTCTTGTGGAAGCTGTTCAGATACGATGATGAGGGACTAGTAAAAATCCCTCAGGCTGTCGCAATCACTTTCTGGCTTCCATCGAGCAGATCTACAGCTCTTTCACTGGAGGTTAAGCTACTGGAAGTCATTGTTCATTGCTTGCAAAGAACCCCTTCAGAAATAGGCTCTCTTGAAACACTCAGAGAATGGGGAAAATCATTTTTTGAAATGAAAGACCTGCTGAGGCTTCAGGAATTCCAACTGCTTCAGATTTGCTGCTTAATTGTTTTGCTTGAGTTGCATGATTAAATGAGCAAAATGTACTCCTCCTACCAAGATAACATTGCTCGAGTGAATGCTGACTTACTTGGTGGTCTGGAGCACAGGATTGTAGATCTATCTTTGGGCTCTTGGGGAGAGATTTAGTACAAAAATGTGATCTACCGCTGTTGGTCTAACTTGGTTTTCTTTTCTTACAGTTGATAATAGCAATGGAAGAACTGAAACAATGTCGACTACAACAGAGAAATATTTCCGCTACAGTTGATAAACTAATGCTGTGTCTTCCTGGTGAGGAAACAATGATTCGTTGTGCAGTTTCATTTAGAGTTCATTTCTGTATCATTCTGCCTTAATGTCTTTGTCCTTCTTCTCCCCAGTTCTGGAGATGTACAGCAAACTGAGAGAGCAGATGAAATCTAAAAGGTGAGTTATTGAAGAATCACTAGTCTGTGTATGCTGCAAACAGCCACTTGAGGTAGTTTTTACCTAATCAGAGTCCCAAGGGTAGAGATCAGTCTGCTCTTTTTAAAATATTTTTTTATTCCTTTTTTTTAAATAAGCTCTCTGAGTTTTTACTAGTGTCTTAGTCTATCTTCCAGTCTAATATAGGTAGAGGTTAGAATTTAAGTTGCAACATTTCTTAATTTTTACCCAGATTTTCTAGTGATAGGTTCCTAGCAATTCACGGTGGTTTTTATATTTATGATGCATGCTAAATAAACCTCAGTGTGATTGGTCAGAGGAAAATGACTTCTTAAAAGTGCAGTAACAGATGCATATTCACAAAGAATCAGCCATTTGCTGACAGAACTACTAACACATCCACCATGCAAGGGACAAGAGACGATATTTAACTTTTTATGACTTGCCTTCTGGAAAACAAATCTGCCGAGAGTGGTGAATCCATTTAAAAAGGTTCTTTTCAGACAGAGAAAAGGCATGGGAATGGTAAAGAAGCCAAAAGTATTTGCAGAAGTAACAATAAGAGTAACCATCCAGACCCCCGAGAAGAACTGGGCAGAAGGGAAGAGCCAAGTGTTGTTGCAACTGGGGATCTGTCTTAGCTTTGAGGTTGCATCAAGATCAGAGGTGAGCTGAGATGAAGGGGCTCCATAATTCAGAATGAACCATAGGCTGCAGAAAAGATCCTGGACTTCCCACGGGACCCGACCCCAATTCAGAGGTTGCTTCAGAAGTAGGGAGGCAGGGAAATGCATGCAGGTGTCCTCATTTTGTTCTGATGTACAGGGTTTCTGAAAACATCACAATTTTTTTGGTTATTCACTACGCCCTAGAGTGTCAGATTGCAGGACTGTAAGGGACCTTGAGATTTATTCCAAATGCCTCTGTGAAGCAGGGTCAGGTATGCTCAGTAGATGCTTATCTAATCTGTCTTTTAAAAACCACTGCTGCAGAAGAGTTTCACAGTCTCCTGTCTCTCACTAGCGTGTTCTTGTCTTGTGGTAATATTCAGCTTAAATCTTTTTTTGCTAATTAAGGTGATTTTTTTTTTTTCCCTTTTTGTCCTTCCCTCAGTGGACATGGAGTACAATTGATCAGAGTCACTTTTTTTAATAAACAGCTTTGTCATCCAATATGTAAACTTTACCTCTAATCCTTCTCTTCCCACCCACCTCTTTTTAGAGAACTGATCTAATTCTTCCAACTTTCCACATATGCTATGCAGTTTCCAAACATTGTTCTTGCTTCTCTCCTCTCCTTTGGGCGCTCTCCAGCTTGCCTAAATAAGAACTCAGTTTTTTTTATCAACATTTCATTGTCTCCATTGTTGACTCATTTAGTTCACAATTCCACTATAACCCTCAGATCCATCAGTTTCTGCGTGACTGCTGTACTTGACTTCTTCTTTTGCGTAGCACTTTCCAGCTCCTCCCCCTACCCTATGGACCATTCCTCTAATTGATCAATATTGGTCCTCCAAAGCAATTGCAACACTTAGCTTGGTGTCCCCCACAAATTTTATAAGTTCCCTCCTGCCTCCTTTCCCCTGCCCCCGCTTTTATTATCAAGTTCTTCCCTTTTATTTATTAGAGATCTGATAATACAGGACAGATCCTATGGCCCCCACTTAGTGCCATTCCAGTTGGACTGTTTGTAATCCTAATTGGGGCTACATCTCAACCGTACTTGATTAGCTGATTTTAGAGTAATGATTTTGACTATCCCATATGAACAAAGTTGATGTGTTGCGTTTACTACTTTTTCTCTTGCCCGTTAGGACGGCTATTCTGTCAAGAGGGAAGTATAGGTTGGTTGGTAGGATTTGTTATCCCCGGAATCTTTCTGGTGCCTGAAGTTAAATTGATTGGACTCTAGTTCTCCAGGTCATCCTCCTTCCTTCCTTTTAAAAATGGGTACTATGTTTGCCCTTCTTGAATCCTCTGGGACCTCCTCTGTGCTCCACAGAGTTCTCAAAGATAATTGTTAATGATTCAGAGATTACTCTGCCTGATTTCTTCAGCACAGTAAGGTGTGATTTTTTTAAAACTCAGCTGGTACCACAGCTGTTCCGAATTTATCCCAAATTGTTCCAATATATTCCAAGAACATCATTATCTGTTTCCTGCCATATTCATTTTTTCCCTCTTCACATGTGAGTTGAAGTCCAGCATTACCACTGGTCTCTGTCCTTTGATAGTTACTCAAAAGAAGTCTCATCTACCACCAGCTCCTACTGGTTATCAGGTTGTCTGTAGTAGACCCCTGCTGTGACATTACTCCCTTTATCTTCAGAGACATTCAACAAAATTGTCTATACTTTCCCTAAACTTTATAGCAAGTACATACGTTCTAGATATATCAAAGCAGTACCTCTTCTTTCATCTGTTCTTCCAAACAAATGATACTTTTCTATGCTAATACTCCAGTCCTATAATTTGTCCTGCCAGTGTCTGGGTTACCAACTATTACAACTCTGGTTGTGTACAAAAGTATCTGGTTCTTGCTTATTTCTCCATACTTCTAGCATCTGTTTAGATATCTTAGATGATTTGAGCTGTCTTTTTTGGGCCAGTTATGGTTTTGAGTAAGTCCACTTTTTTTCTTCCCTCTGGGCTCTCATCACCAGCCGCTTTCAAACTAAGCTTAGAGGATGCTTGCACACTTTTGTGAACTGATTTCCAGAGATACTTTTCTCCTTCGTTAGAAAGGACCATCTCTTCTGTACTTCCTTCAAAGGACACTCCTGCATGGTCAAGGGTAACCACAGCCTTTCCGTCTACATCCTCTGTGAACTGGTAAGTTGGTCCATCCCTCTTGGCTGTTACCTCACGTGAGGATGCTGCCTGTGTCCCGGCTATTTCAGTTATGCTTCCAGTGTCTTGCACTCGCTTCTGATCTGGCTGGGGTTGTATTGGCAGTATTATTCATGCACACAAATAAGCAGAGTGGAGTGGTAGTGAGCTGGGTAGTTCTTCTGCAGCAGCACTGCTGGAAGCTCTTCCAAGCCAGCTGACTTCCTCCATCCTGGATGCATCTCTGTGTGGTGTTGATCAAGTCTTTATGCTCGTATATGCTTTGCAGCCCGGCCATCGCCTGCATCCCAGTTACCTGTGGTTTTTGAGAAGCTTCATTAGCTGACTCTTCCTGCAGTAACGATACCATAGATCCTGCTGCCTTTTGGAGACATACAGACTGTTTCCAGCAAATCAAGATCAGGACCTTACTCTCCTGCTGCTGGTGCTTTTAGCTCCCTTTTGGCTGCGGTAGTTTCTCCATCCCGTAACAATCTGTGTACTTAACTAAATCCTTTCCTTTCTTGAACATTACGGGTTTCTTTCTTGTATATTATGCAGACGTCTGGGTGGGCATAGACATGTCATGGGGGGGGGGAGGGTTTCTGCTACGGGCCACCAAACCAGGAAGAAGGCATGGATGAGGCCATCTTTTAAACAACTGATGGAAGCAATCAAATTGCAGAACCTGGTTCTCTTAATTCTTGATACAGATGTTAGACAGGCCAGTTGGAGGGGAGCTCTTGTCACAGACAGGAAGGAATTGGTTGAGGTTGTGAAGGGGGAAGGCAACCTGGTTGACAGTGACCACAAAGCGATAGCATTCAAGTTCCTAAGGGGAAGAAGGACAGTGAGCAGCAGAGGAAAGACACTGAACTTCAGTAAGCAGACTTTAGCAGGATCCCTTTGGAGGCAAGTCTGAGGGATAAATTAGTCTAGGAGAGCTGGCTGTATTTCAAGAAGGGCCTTTTAAGGGTGCAGGAGCAAGCTATAGTGATGTGATGGGAGAATGGGAAGTGCAACAAGAGGCCAGCCTGGCTAGACCGCAATCTCTCTTCAATGACTTGAAATCCCCAGAGGAATCCTACAAAAAGTGGGAAGCTGGTTATAGTACTAGGGAGGAATATACGGGTATTGCATAATACAGGTGTACAGGGAGAAAATTAGGAAGGGCAAGGCATGATTTGAGATGCAACAGATAAGGCAATAAAAAAGTTTTTTTCCAAATATATTAAGAAATGAGAGGACAGCCAAATGAAATCATATTTCCCTAAAGAAATACAGAAAAACAGGTCATCCTTTGAGGTGAAATATGATGTAATAGAAGATGCTGTTGTTAGAGAAATACAGAAGATAATGCAGAGAAGGCTGAGGTTATAATGCCAGCAGAACAAACTATATTTTTGCAACTGTCCTTCCTCTTAGCTTATGTAGTATGTCTCGACACTCCATGAAGGCTGGGTGTGTGATGGAAAATTCAGGTTTAAATACAGGAGTCTGGCTGGAATAATGGCTGGAGTATGATCCCATAAGGCACTGTTGAGGTAGATGGAATGAGTTATGTTGGTGTGTGACAGAATATTAATACTTTTAGGAGGGCAGGAGCTATAAGATGAAAATTAAAATGAGCAAAGTGCAGCTTAACCCCACAGGAGACACTGTGGAACCAGTAGGAGAAGAAAGAACAAGGCAAGAAACACTTTCCTTTATGCTCTCCAATCCAGTAAAGGTGTTCCCGATTTTAAAAAAAGAACCTCCTGCCCCCATTGGCTTGTTTGTGCCTGACTACCATCCCTTCATTGGTTTAAAAAAACCCAACCCAAAACATTAATGAATGGATGGAGTTTCCAATTGAAATCGGTGTCTTGCATTTCACTGGCTTAAAAAAAACAAAAAACCCCACAAACTCTCCTGTGCTTATAGCTTGACTAGCGTTTCAGGATCCTTTGGGGTGAAATATGATGTAATAGAAGATGGTTTTGTTAGAGATGCAGAAATTCAGACTTTGGCACCTTGGTTCATTGCAATTCTTGTATGAGGAGCAGATCGCAGCGGGAAGCCTTGCTGTGCAGAGGACACTCCAGGTATGGTGGGGCTGAAGCCGCATTACTCCGTTAGCAGGAATCACTGGCCTTTGCACTTATGAAACTAGAACAATGTTGAACTCTTCTCTGCCCCAGATGTTTTAGACTTTGTTTTCGGCAGGCAGTCATGGACCTCATCAGTGAACACGCACTGTCCCTGCAGGCCACATTTTAGCTTCTTCTAATTCAACAAACATTGTCCTAAAATATAACAAAATCCCAATGTGTGTTTATTCCTCTGGCTTCATTTCTGGCGTTCTGTCCATTCTTAAGTTTCTCTCTAGAGGGGATTACATTTTATTGCAAATAGTTTTTCATACCTCACAGTAACATAAACAGTGACCGGGTTACAGGATTAAACCATAGGACTTGTGCACTGCAGCCCTTGATGGGCCCTACAATTTAAAAGTTACAGTAACTTCCCCTTGACCTGCCTGTAGTTGAAGCGAGCATTGTTTTGAATAGAGGTTTGAGCAACGTTGGTGCGTATCTTATGACCAAACATTTTTTTGCGAGTAGGGGGTGTTCACTCCAGGTGGTGCTGGCCAGATTTCACCTTTGTCTTGTGTTCGGTCTTGTGAAATCCGAACCTCCCCAGCGCTTCCCTTTTGGATACGATATTCTTCATTATCTCTCTGACATTTGGATGCTGTTGAAAATTGCCTTTTTTCCACCAGAGAACTGGCTGCTTTATTAGTCATGTTAAAATAATTTCTTAAATTTCTTACACTGATGACTCGCAGCTAACACAGGCGCACACTTTTTTTTTTTTTGTTTTTTGTTTTTGACTCCTGCTCTTCATCTGTTCAGTTTTGTTCACGGTTAGCTATCCTTCATCTTGCATCCAAAAGGACTTAATTACACTCGTGTCATCTCATATATGAACAAGCAAAACAAAACAATTGTAACAAAGCTCTCTGAAGCAAGGACTGTCACTGGATTTTGAACAGCACCTGGCCTGAAATCTCCCTGATCTCTGGACGTTTTATTAAAACAACAAAAAGCTGGCTGGGCACAAATAATGTTTTTCTGTTCTAGGGTCGTCTTATGCAAGGATCTCAAAGTGCTTTGCAAACACTAGGCCTTACAAACCTACCTTTTGAGGGGGGTCAAAAGGGTATGTAGCAATCGGTTGGTCCACTCTGTAGATATAGACACTTCTGACACTGGAAGTGTATAATGGTGCTCAGCAACACTTAAACAATTGGAAAGGAAATGAGACTGGACTCCATGCACACAGGAACAAATCTGAGTAAAGAGGAAGTGTTGTAATCGCTTCTCCAGTGTGTGTCCACTTTCTAACCTTGCTGTCGTTCAGTTTGGCCACCTGAGAATGTGAGACTTGGCAGTACTGTGGTGCGTATGGGCACTGAGGTGTGCGTACAAGTCCTTTCATATATTGATATGCCTGTTCAGCACCAACGTCCTCGGAGGGGATACAGAAATGCAGAAGAAGGTTGCCCATTTCTGAATTGGATTTCTTATTTCCCCAGACATTACCCTGCACTGAAGACACTAGAGCACCTTGAGCACACGTATCTGCCGCAGGTGAGCCACTACCGCTTCTGCAAGATCATGGTGGATAACATTCCGAAACTGCGTGAAGAAATCAAAGAAGTTTCCATGTCAGACCTCAAAGACTTCCTGGAGAGTATCCGCAAGCACTCGGACAAGATTGGCGAGACAGCAATGAAACAGGTAGGGTTTTGTTTTGTGGCGTCTTGGAAAAGCAAAACACACGGGCTATGCTAGACTGTCCGTTTCTGTGCCAAAGCATCTAAGGATTTGTAGGAACAGTTAAAAAGGACTCTTGAAACATGTAGCAAGTCCTGTTGCTGTACGAAACTGAATGATCCTTTGTTCCATGGCTGCCGCGAGGGCCTGTTTTCTGTTTCATGTACAGCCGCAAAGTGATGACATGTTTTTCTGTACTTTGCCCTAGACTTCTAGTAGCCCAAAGTCTAGGAGGCCGAGGTGGGTTGTATAAGCCAGATCTCCCACTTAACGGGGTAACGCAGCATTTGTGCTGCTGTGCTTTGCATGGTGAAAACTTGCAGAGCTGAAGGAGCTGGTGTCAGTTTGCTGTGGTCAGGGGTGAAATGTTAGCTTGCGGTAAGTACGACTTTGCATTGCAGCCCAAACTCATTCAAAACATTAGGTACATCTCTATACTGTTTCACAACCATTCTGCCCTTGGGTTAATGTTTTGGAAAATAAACCTGGTTCATTATCTATACTCTTGTACGTAGGAAGAAATGGTCAACTGCACAGAAACCCTTTTAATTTTCTCTTCCCTCTTTAATCTGTTGAACAGCATTCTTTCTAGTCTCTTCTATTTTGAGGATTTCCATTTATCTGTCTTTCATGATATGCATGCTGCTTTATTATCCTTGTTGATCTCTTTAGGATATTAAAAAAAAAAAAAAAAGTCTCTTTGGCGTATCGAAAAATCTGCTTTCTACTCTAATTCCATTAGTTTGAAAATAAAGGAGAGTAGACTCCTTCTAGCATAACTAGTATTTCTAATATTAAATCAAGTTAACAAATCTTTGGTGCTAAGAGGTTAGACAGTGTATTTGTATAGGATGGCTTGGACGGGGCTCATCCTGCCTCAGGCAGGGGTTGGACTAGATGACCTCTCGAGATGCCTTCCAGTCCCGTTCTTCTATGATTGAAATCTGAATCTACAGAGAGAGTGGCTGATCTCATCCTACCAAACACCCAGACACATTGTAACTATGTCCGGAAAGTGCTCGTTTTGTGTATAGGTTTCCCTCGCTTTATGCTGTACACGCTCCTGGAAAACGGCGCATACCTCGAATTCGCGTGAAGGGAACATCCTTTACAATGTAACGAATAGGGATATGTTCCACGACCTTGACTGTATTGACCCCTAGACCCATTTCTACCACCTTTCCAAGACAATTTTGGTACTTGCCAGCAGCAGACAGTACACACAAGCACAGGGCACTATCATGATGGGGATGCAGACAACGAGTGAGGAGCACAGACCCACACAGGAGACTGTTTTGGTGAGTATCACTCCCACAATGCACTGCACAAAGCAACTGACTGCAGGCTTCCACCACAATGAACGTATAAGAGTGAATCTACCTCTCATATAATACCCTTTTTTGTATGAAAAGGGTCATGGCATAAGAGCCAATTCGCACCTACAGAATCCGCATAAAGCGAGGGAAACTTTTATTAAAATTACTTTTAGTAGATGGCAGGAATTTTACCTGATGTGGCTAGTTAGTTCCTTGAAAACTATTATTTTTAATGGAAATGCTTTAGCTTTTGTCATAAGAGCAACTTACTTTCTTGAAAGATCATTCTTTGTTCCTGCTGCTTTGCGTGCATAGAAAAGAGTTTTTATTTGTCTTTTGCTGTCACAGCTAATGCCAAGAATGGGCTTTTCTTTAAATATGCTTCACGTCCAGATTAGTGTTTCCTAATAATTGGCGCATAAAAGGGATGCAAATGTTCTGTGTTGTTGTTCCCTCCCACCTGCGTTGCCATGATGGGGAAGAGCGAGACTAGATCACTCATGTTTCACTGAGAGGCAGGCATTGGTTTCTTTTGTTGGCAATGAGATTGGAGGGGGGGGAAGATAGTCGCATGCATAGTTTTGTCAATGTTTGTCTTTAATAAAATTGGTAGGCAGAATAAAAGTGTGACACCATTTCTTTGTCCTTGCAAATCAATATCTTGCTTTGCATTGTCTCCTCATCTCTGGGCAGGATGTTTGTCTGCTGCTCTGCCCCAGGCTTCCCCTGCTCTCGCCTCCCCCTATATCTCTCACAAACTAATCCCATCCTCATTCTCTTCTTTCTGCTGCCTCCTTATGGAGTATCTGCACCGCTCTTTGACCTGTTGTTTCTCCATCTCTTTGGACTGCTGAAACCTGGCTCTTTCCGTCCACTGTGTCCCTGGTACTTCTATGCACTATTGTGCTGATGATGTCTCTCTTCTGACATGCATTGTCCTGGAGACTTGTTTTTCCCCATTTCCACTTCCAACCTTTCCTTAGATCTTGTTTTTTCGGTGTCTCTCCCATCCTGCATCATCAAGGGCTCTACTAACTGCTTATGCCTTCCCTGGTCATAGATATCACTCTTGCTTCCTCTCCATAGTCTCTTCTCTCATGTTTTGACATGAGTTTTTATTTTGAGCACTTGCACAGTGCAAGTTGCCCATGGCTTCCTGGTCTTCATCCCTGCATTTGACCATCAGCCTTTTAATGTGGCCCCTTGCAAGACATGAGAGCATCAGTCTATGTTCCCCTCTCCTCTGGTTGCTGCCTCTCACTCTGTAATAGTGCTCGATCTTGCACTTCTTTTCTATTCATTCCCCACTTTTTTGATCACAAGGGCTTCTGAACTGAATTGTTTCATTTTGAACTATAGGGCTTTCCAGTGGCTCTCTTGTATTGCACAGAAGATCATCCTTATGTGAGTGTCTCCGTGGGGAAAATGTTCAAGATAATCTGCTTTTTCCTGAGTGAAAGACTTGCACAGAAAGGACTTGAAAACACAGCACACACTATTGACGATTTGAGAAACCTTGCATGTGTAAGGCTGCAGTAAAGTCTGCTCATAAATTTTTTTTCTCGTACCAGAAGATCTCTACTGTCCTGTTGAACTAGGGCTCCTGGCAGGTGTCATGTCAACTGTGCCATGGCTTTTTTCATGTCATGAAAATATTGTGCCATGTGCATGGCTACGTGTGCAAAGGGCAGGCTGTCAAGAGGGCGGTGGGGAAGGTGGCCTGCTAGGCTGTGCTGCTGCTGCTCTCGGAGCTCAATGCTGGTCAGCAGCACAACTGTAGGAGTGACAGGACTCCATGAAGAAATATCCCCTACTCCATGCCCCCCTGTCACCCAGAGCTGGGTGAGGGATGAGGCTGGGGGGAATCCTTGTCTTGATTTCCCTCCCCTGGTGCTGGGCAGAATATGTATGGGGGAAATCCCTCCCCTGAGCTGTGGAGGGCTCTTGGCTTTGGCAGAGAGCATAGGGGGTCCCCTCCCTTGGAGCAGAGCCCAGGAGTGTCAGGCAAACCTTTCCCCCAGCGAGCCATGTATGCCAAGGATTCCCTGGGCAAAGTGTAGGGTGGTGGGGAAAATCCCTCCCCCGTGCCAAGCAAAAGACATGACCAGAAAATCCTTCCCTGCTGCTCAGCAAAGCAAGGGTTGAGGGGGGAATCCTGCCCCCCATCCCTTTCTCCCTTAGAGAGCCAGGAATGCAGGGAAGGCTCTTCCCTAGTGCAGAGCAGGACTAGGGGTTCCTTCCCCATGCTGAGAAAAGCCCTTCCTTCCCACCCCCCCCCCACCCCCAACATTGAGCCAGGCATGTGGGGAAAGTCCTGTCCAGCATGGAGCAGGGCTGGGGGTCCCTTCCCTTCCTCTCGGTTCTGTTCTACACTAGGGAAGGGGTTTTCCTGTGCTCCTGGCTCTGTCAGGGGGAGATTTTTCCACCCCACACCCTCTGTGTTTTGCTCAGCTCAAGGAGTGGAAGGGAACCCCCATTCTTGCTTCTGGGGTTGAAGTGGTTTCCCCTGTGCCTGGCTGTGTGCTCTGGATGCTGGAGGACCCAGGAAAGACCTTATCACCGGATATGTGGTCTGTCACGCGTTCAGTTTAATGCTTGATAGAAACCAACTACAAAAATGTTGTATGCTTTTCAAGCAACATCTTTAGCTGGTTGGCCATGTTTGTAGCTGGCTGGCCATTTTTATCATGCGATTAATTTGCATGCGTAGCAAAATATATTGCACAGTCACCCAGTTAATTGCATAATACGTGCAACATGTCAGGGCCTTAAGATGCAAACTGTAAATAGGTCTCCTTTGCTGCCGAATTGAGTTGTATAAGGGATATAATTGTCAGCACGTTTTACCGTGAATGTCACATTACTGTACCGCGCTTTAGGGACAGGAGCAAACAAAGCCATGTGTAATTGTAGCTCCCACTGGGAAATTTAGTTGGAACTTGATTTTTTTTGGTGTGCTGTGTGTTGACGAAAAGTGCCATCGAACCTTTTTAATGACCAGGATCCACGCTTTGGGCGTCTCTAGCAGCGTAGCGTCCCTTCCCATTATTTTGATGAGACTAGAAGCGAAGAACTCCCTTGCTAAATTACCAGTGCCAGTTCTTGCATCGCAACAGCTTTCTCCATCTCTTCAATGGCTGATTGATAGTTGTTCTGTAATAGTCTGGACTGGCAAAAGGCCTGGGGGAACGTTGAGGAGCCGTGATTGGCAGCTCTAATGGACTGGGATAGGGAATACGCATTCAGTTTAAATTAGCGTCATGCAAGTTCCCTTTAAGCTGTTTGATTTCACCAGCGGGAGCAGAACGGGCTTGATCCGATGGTGAAGGAAATGTTTGTAACATGACAAGTCTGAGGCTGACGATGACAAGAGTTGAAACTTCCACGTTGCGATAATCGGAAGGATCTGTCTTGGAAGGCACGGAGCCGGCGTTGCGTTTCTGGCCGGCGTTCAGATGCTGGGAGTTCGTTGGCTCCCTCTGTTGGACAGGAAACCGCCAGTGGGGGTGAAGTCAAGTGATAAGTTCCTGGGGTCAATCCTGCAAAGGAAACGGGAGGCTTTTGTGTTGCTTCATTGAGAAATTATGACTTGAAAAAATCACGACCCCTCATTGAGTCCTTTGCCTAATGTGTGTTTAAAAAAAATCC